AACCTACCCTAGGCCTAAATATGCACAATATGCTAATATATAATAATATTAATTTATATGAGAAAATTCCTGTTTTGAATGAACACTGAAACTGATGAATGCGTCCTTGGGATCGGCCGCTGGATGGAATGAACATAGTCTGAGGACGGATTTCCGGACCTTTATAAAGATTTAACTTGCATACAGCAAATACAATTAATTGACAATACAGCGTAAACACCTAACCTACGGTTATGCACAAAATTGTAATGTATAATATTATTTTTATTTAAGAAAATATAGATTTTGAATGCAAAGTACGTTACATTTGATGAATGTGTCTGTGGGGCCGGCCGCCGTTTGGAAAAGCACAACATCGACATTCCCTCGAGAATGTAAGATATTCATGTAGTCATCTCTGCCAGAGGGTGTCACATAGATTAGGCACGTACAAATAACCTCGGGAAGCTAACGTTTTATCGCAGAGAATAGGCTCGTCCAGTTTATCGGCATTGGAAGTCTTTGAAAAACAGGTTAGCTCGTCGTCCTTACTACAAATGAGATGGTGTGATGGGCTCAGAAGTATTAAGTTCACTATGAAAATATAAAAGGATGATTATTAACGCACGCTTCTAGTTCCACCAAAATTGTGTTCATATAATGAAACCAGCGCTCATCTTAATATCTTTTTAATCCAAATTTCAAGAACGCTTGTCATACACACAGACTATGCCAAACGTAGGTGCCTAAACAGGGGTAAATCTCTACTCACATTTGCCATTTTGCAGGTGATCTGCAAATAGTGTTTCTGGCTTGGTTCTTCTTTTGATGATTATTTTCTTATTCAGGTGATTCTTAATAATTTCCATCAGTGGCTGTTTAATATAATCTTTTTATATTTATAAAATAATATACATTCTAAAGATACTGGTACTAGGTTATAAAGATCATATTTACATCAATTTACAAGGGGAAATAATATAATCAAAGGCAGAATGAGATGTTGTCCACAGAATTCCCTGAAGCGCCAAATGCAAGCTTCACATAACTGATGTTACCAGTTCCATATGGATTACTCTGGTAACTACATGTGAATATACCTTCATATTCAAGAATCTACATAAGACTCTACCGGTAACCTAAGTCCACTACGGGCTCACCATAGTCCGTGCTACTTGGAACTTTTTGCTCAAAGTAGCTGAATCTAAAACAACAAATACTGGAAAGGATTCAGAATTCAGACATGTAATTCTAGACTGGTAATGGTATTGGGTACACTGGAGAGTATGATCTTGCAGTCTTGGGCAGACTGTGCATTATTTTAGAACCTTCTTCATAACAGTGTTGTCTTAGAGACTCAACCACATATCTAAAACACCATTACTGAATCATAAGTTGAGTAGTATTATGTTTATCATCATCAATGTAAGAAATTTGTAGATTGCTTAAATCCAAGTGTTTCAAAAGACCTCTGCATCGCAGGATGTCGACAGTAAGGTATAATCATATTAGAGTTAGGTTGGAAAGTTTTGGGTCATTCGATAGGCTTTGATATTCGTTGGGTAAAGTGTATGTGTGTGTGTGTGAATTCGTCTGGATAGATTTTCCATTATACACACACTGTGCAAGTAACTGTTTCTTTTAAGTCATTAGCTCTTCTAATTTTGAATTGTCACCGAATTCCTTATTTTTATAACGTTTGTATAAAATTTAGTATTGTTAATGAAAATTGAGTCCTATGATATAATGTTAACCACCCCGTTTAAATTTACTTCATCTGTCCCATTAAAATATGGCAATATTTTAACTTAATCACCTGTGGCTTCATTTATGAACACTAATGTGTTAGCAATAAGTTTTGGTGGGTGAGGCTACGAAGGAAGCTCTCGCCACAGACATAAAATTTTAAAACAGATCACTAGGATTGTCACCTGTCGGGGACAAAACGAAGTTATGAATTACGTAGTAATGATTTAACTTGAACAGCCTCATTTCTCAAATAAACTGGTAGTATCCTATTACTCTGTACTACATTACCAAAGTTGTCAATCACTCCTCATAGTGAACGACTGTATTTTCACTTCGACCCGGTAAGCATATAACACAAATTTGACAGGCCTAGTAAGGGCAAAGTACCATTAAATTGATATATGGAGACATACAGGGAGTATATTCTAATATTTAATGCAAATTAAAATAATATATATCTATAAAAGAGAATGTCTGTCCAAGGTTGGAGTCAGTCCAGACGCTTAAAGGGGTCCACCTAACTTTTCGAGATGACACATGGGTAGTATGTGACAGTCATAAGTTGGTTGGGGTCGGCCACATTGACCCCTTTTGAGAAATATTGGCTCCGACAGCTACCCCTAAGATTTCGATGGTCTGGAATCAAGGATTTGTTTTCTATACAGTTTTCATCATTTCGTAATATTATATTTTCTGAGAAGGAGAGAGGAGAGGCGAGAGACGGACAGAGGGGAAGGGGAGGTGAAGGATCGTCGGAGGGGGTGGAAAGGGGAAGAGATGAGTGAGAGGGAGATGATGGTGGATGGGAACGAGAGAAGGGGAAGAAATGTTGAGAGAGGGAGAGATGAAGGGAGCAGATGTGGGTAGAAAGGGGGAGGAGGGGTTGTTGGGAGAGAGAAAGGAGGTGGGGGAGCAAGACACAGGTACTACTAGGTACCGCATCTGGTACAATATATAGAGTAAATAATATTTACAAGTAAGCAAAATAAAACTGAAATAATTTGTTATCGAACTAAAGTTCCGATATAGACTGATTAATGTTGTCCCAACTCAAATACAACTAGGATACAAGATGCCAGATTAGCCTTTATTGGGCACTAGATCACATGACATGTTGAGTGAAGACGCAGACGAGGTCACAGGCTGGAACCTGTCGCTCTGATGCGACAGGTTGCTAGGCTTCCGTCATGTATATTTGTGATGACAACCCCCACAACAGTTGACAAACTGTCCCCCGACAAAACGAATTATTATTATTTTTGTTTTCCCTTATTCCGCCGTGTAATGGTGTTAAAGACCTTGAGTAGATCAACAGATTCTTATTTTATATTTATCACATGCCATTTTTGTGTCATCTGCAAACTTGCTGATGTTGCTGGTCATTGCAGTATCCAGGGGCCAGATTCATCAAGCAGTTACGCCTCTAATTTCAAACATGTCCAGCTTTTCTCAATATTTTGCTACCTTGTTTACATTTATTAAGCAATTTATGAGTTCACAAGCACTAAGAGGTTGTTTATAATAATAATATTTGATTAGGAAGATTCGATGCTCTTAAACTGTTTAATATATGTGAACAGAGTCAATAAAGATTTAAAAACGATGTACAGGTTCGTTAGTAGATGCGTAATTGTTTACTGAATCCTAGCCCCAGGTCGCTAATGTGTTTTTCGTTATTGAATAATATATAATATAAAGATTATATTTACATCAATTTACAAGGGAAAATACTACATTTATATATAGTTTATATAATTCTTAGTAAACCAATTTTTCATATCATCTCAGAGCATGAGCCGTAAACCCCCAAATGTTATACTTGATCCTGCCTCGCAAGAACTTCAATATTTTGTCTACTAAGTAACCCTCCTGCCTGCCTATCCAGACACAAAAATGTAATCAGAAAGTAGCATAATTATTGTATTCATAATTTTCTTGCATTTTATGTCAATTATGATATATAAAAAGCCTCATTAAATCCACTCAAATGCTTGGTCCACACAAAGCCCTGCGGCACACCGCTAGTGACATCCATTCTCTCCATTACTGGTGACTCCGTTTTCTGTCTTTCAGCCATGCACTGATCTAGTTTAGTGCTTCCTCCAAGCTGTGTGCTTCGACCTTCCTCAGTAGCCTCTCATGCGGAATTATGTCAAAGGTCTTGTTGAGGTTCAGTGACAGGATGCAACAAGCCTTTACGCATCTTTACGAACCTGAATTTTTGTTCTCAATCGTTGCTGTCTTTGCTTACATTTATTAAAGTTATACACAGCTTCAAGTGTAGATATGATAGAGTTCAGTAGGCTCAGGAATCTGTAAATTAGTTGATTGACAGTTGAGAGGCGGGACCAAAGAGCCAGAGCTCAACCACCACAAGCACAACTAGGTAAGTACCTAGTTGTGCTTGTGGGGGAGGAGGTTGAGCTCTGTTCTTTCGGCCCGCCTCTCAACTGTTATTAACTACTAACTAATTTTTTCTCCACACACACACAGGAAGCAGCCTAACAGCTGTCTAACTCTCAGGTACCTATTTATTGCTAGATAACAGGGGTATCAGGATGAAAGAAACTCTGCCCATCTGTTTCCGTCGGTGCCGGGTATCGAACCCCGGTCCACAGGACTATGTATCCAGCGTGCTGTCCACGCATGTATATGTGTATATACATGCGTGAAGGCGTCTAAGTACCAATCTCGGGTTAATTGAATTTTTATGTAAAGTTATTCTGGACAGTGACTTGGACCAACATCTCACAGGCATGGGCACAGCCTCATGCAAACGTTCACATTTACTGACGAAATATCTTTATGAATGAGTGTGTTGAGTGAAATATATAGTAACGTGGAGACAATATTTAATGTATGACGCGGTGTTCTGGCACGACGAACTTCACTGATATAATAACTCCAGGAGGCACACAAGCTGGCCGGTGTACACCAGCAAAACACATGATGACTTCATCTTGTGTATTCGGTGACTTCAATAAAATCAGATGATGACCATTGTACTGTAGTAAAACACAACACAGGAAGGTGACCAATGTGAGGCACAACACTGTACCCGGGCACACAAGAGCCGCCCGGCAGCACCCAGAGAAGCCCCTCACACACCTCCATGCCGGCCTATATCCAGAATCAATGTGGTGTAAGGTCGAGAAGTAGTTAGGTAACCTTGTGTGTCGGAGGATAATGGTAAGAGGTGAGCGGGCAGGGAGGCGTGCTATGGAGACGGGATGGTCAAGGCTGCCCCGTCCAAGTGAGAGTGCTCCTATATAAAGACTGGGGCCTCCTCGTCGACACATCACACTTCACCATGAAGCTCCTGGTGAGTGCCTCCTCCGGCCTGTGTTAGCGTCTTGTGTATAGTGACGTAGTGGAGTTGAGACGGACTACAAGAGCCGCCCGTGTTCTTGTAGAGTACGAGACAGAGTCCGGTAGGGTGTAAGACATGGTAGTTGTCACAGGTATCTGGTAGTTGGTCCAAAGTGGATTAGACATTCACACTAACAAAATGATGAGACAAACTCGCTAAGGTATGTTCTTAATAAGGGGCGGAATACTCGGAACAAACGTCTCCTCATGTAGGCTTCGTTTGCAGCCTAGCAAGATGTTCCTGGGTCACTCTCGACGACACTAAATTTAGACCACTTAGAGTACATGGGAAATGTTTGTCCGATGTATTCATAAATTGTCAGCGGATGAGAGGTTTGTTGTGAGAACCTTGACCTCTTCTATTGTTACCAAGGATGACAGAGGTGTAAGGTGTCATGGCAACACTAGTGACTAGTGGTTTTTATTGCGTTTTAAGTTTATTGTTTATTAAGAAGTATTTTTACACAACATCGCTACAACCCGAGTCTACGTGAGGGATTACAGGGAATAATAGGTGAAGAGCAAGTCAACAAAGACTTTATGACAATCTGAATTTGAAAACCAATAACTTTAAGGGAAAACTATTTGCCGCCCACAGATATCTGAACATTTAGTGTGCACCTTCAGCACTGTAGGAGTGACGTCATAGCCTTTATAAAGGAGGCGTCCTAGATGTGACAGTTAAGTGTTACCAACACACACTATTCTGCCTACTTGAAGCTCACCCTTCACTTTACAGCACCTTTGTTTTTGTTCTCAGTTGCCAACATTTCAGTAGTCGCTTTCTTCACCAGGAAATCACACACTTATTCTCCTCACTCTACCAAAGTGTGAGCATCGAGTGGTGGTGGCGTACACTTTGCACAATATTCACCGAGCTTTCTTTATTTCCAAATTCTGACAGATATTATAACATACATGAAGGTTAGTTAATGAGAAGGTTGAGACCCTGATGATCCTGGCTGTTGATTGGCCTTAACATTAACCCAGCCTCTTCTCTATCATCTTAGTTAATCAACTTTTTTTTAGCAGATTCTGGATATAAAAACTTTCTGCGTTTGTGAGTCAGCCAGAATCTAACCAATAATATTTTAATTCTGTTTCAGATTCTTGTCTCCTTGGTTGCGGCAGCCGCCGCCGAGAAACTGCCGACTTACAGTCTACCAAGACCTTCTGGTCCAGGTCTCATCATAGGCGGCCAAGGGGCCAGCTGTGGAGCTGGACAGATCCGTCATGTGGACGGAAGTTGCGTGACTCCTATTGTCACCAAAAACTTATACGTGTATAATTCTCCACCAGCGTCCCCAATCATCGGACCACGCCCACAGGTTCCCCCACCAAGGCTTGAACACAACATTATCTTCATCCGTACCCCAGAAGCAGGTCCAGGTCAGGAACCCATTGTGGTGCCACCACCTCAACAGAAGAACGTCGTGTACGTCCTCAACAAGCGACTACAGCTTGACCAGAAGGTCGTCCACGTGCCAGCATCAGAACAACAGACTCCACAAGTGTACTTCGTCAACTACGGAGAGGGCGACAACCCGACTCTACCTACAGGAGAGGACCTCCAGTCTGCCCTCAGCTCTGCCTCTCACGGTGCCGGTCAGGTTATCGGCGCTGGTGGTGGCATTGGAGGTGGCATTGGAAGTGGCATTGGAGGTGGCATTGGAGGTGGCATTGGCGGCGGCATTGGCGGTGGCATTGGAGGTGGCATTGGCGGCGGCATTGGAGGCGGCATTGGCGGAGGCGGTGTCCTGAGTGACAGTGGAGTCGGTGTGTCGACGCCGTCTCGTCTATATTCATCACCGTAAGCAATTCAACAGCACCATCTTCCTTAGGCTCTGGCTCTCAAACCACTAAACGAAAGAACTCACCGGCTTAAAATTATTTCCAGCTTTGTTAATTTTATTATGTAATATTTATTTTAGGCAAGAGATGGATTTATATTTAAAATGTCAAACCTAACATCTGTAAACAATGGCTAAGATAAATATATACATACTATATTTACTTGTTGTTTTCTGGAGCTTTGACAAACCATAAGAAGACAACACTTTAGTATGAATTACTACTGTATTGAGGAATTATTCGAGACCTCAGTTCTGTTATTAATCAGCTGCTTTCCTGTCTTTCTCGTCATTGAAAGTGGCTCTCCTTACTGAATACTATCTTCTCCATTATATTATACCGAATATAAATATCACTAGAGGGACTACATACTGTTTCTGAGGTGAAATGTAATTAGATTCCCAACCTTGTCTCTTCACCAAGCCCTCCAGGGTTCTCTCTCTCTCTCTGTACCACTAGTACACTTTCTCCAGGTCCACAGCTGAGCACTGAGCTCAGTGTAGATCTGTGTTCCGACTATGCACCCTGCACCCACTCATCCTCTCCGTCGATTGCACGAAAATTGTTAAAATTATCATATCAGTATATTGTTATTTATATTTCAAATCCCTGCTAATTACTCTATATAAATATTCAAATACCTTTCCTTGTTTCCTGAGAAATTGTGAGGGATATTACAAAAGTAATATTGTCGGTAATATTGTCTCCCATTGTCGGTGACAGCAAGCCTAAGGTTTATCGAGACTTTCTGACATTTGTTAGGATACAACCAACAACAGTTAACTAACTCCCGGGCACCTATTTATTGCCCATGAAAATAGGTCTAGGTTCGTACCACGATGTACGAACACCTATACTTATCCTGCCTAGACATCAACTCTCAGTCATGGCCGTAGTAAGATACCAATGGTTTCCCAGGACAACGCGCAGCTTCCGTCATGCATGTCTGTGAGAATCTGAGTGGCGATCTGACCCGGCTCATTCAAATGTAGCCTCTCCCATTGGCTGCCCAATATGACGTCACTTATGTTCACGCTTTTGATTGGTAAATGCATCAGTCGCCCCACACGCCATCAGTCAATGGCGCCAATTCTTATTTTGTCACCACACTGGAATTTTTTGTTAACCTTGCGAGAGTATATCTACAAGTCCATGACACTGTACACATACTTCCACAAACACTCCAGTGTGACAAAAAATAAATTGAAACCAAGTCGCTTAACCCCAAAGAAATAATAATATAAAATCTGCGTTAAGATACACAGCAAATATTTATATAAACACACTAGAAAGGGTACACGGAGGTGCCCGTCTGTCTGTCTCTTTCTCACATGTATGTGTCATATTAATATGTACCACATGTGTCAGTATGTGTCATGCATGTCACTACGGTCCAGGGTCCAGGGTCCAGGGTCCTCGTAGCCTGGTGGATAGCGCGCAGGACTCGTGATTCTGTGGCGCGGGTTCGATTCCCGCACGAGGCAGAAACAAATGGGCAAAGTTTCTTTCACCCTGAATGCCCCTGTTACCTAGCAGTAAATAGGTACCTAAGAGTTAGTCAGCTGTCACGGGCTGCTTCCTGGGGGTGGAGGCCTGGTCGAGGACCGGGCCGCGGGGACACTAAAGCCCCGAAATCATCTCAAGATAACCTCAAGATAACGGTATGTATCATATGTCACTATGAATCACATGTCGATATGAATCATATGTCACTAGGTATTATGTGTCGGTATGTATCATGTGTGTATGTATACTTTTTCAGTGTATTATGTGTTAGTATCATCTGTCCATGTGTATCACTACCTGGTGCTCCTCGTGGACCGGGTCCCGGTGCTCCTCGTGGACCGGGTCCCGGTGCTCCTCGTGGACCGGGTCCCGGTGCTCTTCGTGGACCGGGTCCCGGTGCTCCTCGTGGACCGGGTCCCGGTGCTCCTCGTGGACCGGGCCCTTCCCAGTCATGCTGGTGGACCAGACGATCGACGCAATCCTGATGAATCAAATGGCCGCCGTAAGAGGATGGAACACGCAACATGGACGGACATTATTCCTTGTGTCTCCTCGCAAGGAGAGTGATGCTCTGAGGTATAATCTACTTACTGAGTCGTTCCTCCTACCACAACACTTGCAGACGAGGCGGCTACGACAGTCTTCTGAAGTTCACGATAGAAAAAGATATCAACCTTTATGCTGATGACTCGCTGGAAACGAACCGCTCTTCCTGTCGACACAGTGGCCTTGGTCAGCGGTCACCCAGATCGCTCGGCTGCCCTTCATGTCTTCCTTCTCAACGCTGCCTCCTTCACAGCTCCTGAGGTGGATGGAGGGAGGGGGGGGGGGAGTGTTGAGGTGGAGGGAGGGAGTGGATACCCTATGGAGATGGAAGGAGGGAAAGTATATTGGAGGAAAGGAAATTCTGTAACGAGACCGCTCAATCTAACCTCACCCCTTCTACAACGTCTGCTATGAAGGACACAACCCAATAGGTTAAACAAGTACTAACATAAACGGTGTACAAAGTCCAGTGAGACAGTTACTCTGATAATTCGTGCAAAACAGTCCCGTTTGTTTGAATTAGAACACAAGCAAATTCACCGTTAACAACGTGCTTAAGCATACTAAGATGAGCAGCAGTGACTTCCTGGCCGTTGAGGCGTGTTCACGGGAGGACTCAGTCCTGGCACCAGCAGCAGCGTGTTAATGACTGAAGGTGACTGTAACTCAAGACACCTTCACTCAACCCCTTGTGTAACTCAAGACACCTTCACTCAACCCCTTGTGTAACTCAAGACACCTTCACTCATCCCCTTGTGTAACTCAAGACACCTTCACTCAACCCCTTGTGTAACTCAGGACACCTTCACTCAACCCCTTGCGTAACTCAAGACACCTTCACTCAACCCCTTGTGTAACTCAGGACACCTTCACTCAACCCCTTGTGTAACTCAGGACACCTTCACTCAACCCCTTGTGTAACTCAGGACACCTTCACTCAACCCCTTGTGTAACTCAGGACACCTTTACAACACCCCAACACCGCAGATAAGAACATATGGACCATTCACTCCCGTCTCCATATTGGTTTGCACTGCTTAGAATAGTCGAGGTCCACCTAGCTCAAGTCACCTGGTGACCTTGTGTGTGATGCAAGCCACAACAGTTGAGTGACAACCGAATAAGCTTACTTATATGTGACCAGAGACGTCGAGTGTAGGGTGACACGCCCACAAGTGGTCTCGCGGCTGAGTGGACAGCGCTCGGGGGTCGTAGTCCTAAGGAGCCGGGTTCGATTCCCGGCTGAGGCAGAAACAAATGAACAAGGTTTCTTTCACCTGATGCCCTTGTTGAGTAAGTTAAAGAGAAATATGTAGTAGATATAATAAAGGAAAAACAGACTGATTAGAAAGGCGGGGTCCAAGAGCTAATAGCTCGATTCTGCAGACACAACTAGTCAATAGAGGGCTCGCACTCTGGCAGGAAGCCCCCGGCCATCAACAACATATCTATGCACCAATAAGCCTATGGTGGCATCCGCGGGTCCTTTTCTTTCTGTAGGTATACCATTAAGAAAAAATATATATAAATTCCTGATATATATACTCTAAGTTTTCTTTTTCAACCAATCAGACAATTATTCCTACCTTTCTTTTGGCTTCACATCTTCATGGTCGTTTAAGCTCACAACAAGAACAATTCTCCGGCCCTTGAGTAAATTACGATGTTTCCCATCTCAGTATCAAGCACAGTGAAGCCAGCGACGACTTAGACCTGATGTAATAGATTTGCAAGAGTCTATCCAAGTACCGTCCAACCCACGCTCACCAACGCTGAAATATGGCGCCCACACACCGCAGACGCTTGTCATACACAGACTTCCCGTTCTCACGTGGCCCTGTATGACTGACCATCCTGCCAGATGATGGGCACTTTTAGTATCACCGCTTCCTATTCACTAAGTATTTTAAAAGCACTGCAATCAACCACAGATTGTTCAATAAATCACGGAACTATATGTTTAGCACATCTCTCACCCTGTCCATGGAGGACAGAATGTATATATGCTGGTTAGCATTGTTAATGTGTGGTCACGTCTGTGGTAGAAAACAATAATAACAATAAAAAACTTATTCACTCTTGTGTTGATGATGATATCCTCATAATGCAGCCAGAGTTTATAACTAACCATCCTGTGTGATGGAGATTTTTAACATCATGTAGCTAGTTTTTTGACACTGTACTTCCCTTCATATAGTGTAGGGAGGCTGCGCAAATGCAGATGTACCTAAATATGTTAATACAAAAAAAGTTCTCAGCATCAGTCCGTAGCTAGACACAAACACGAAGCCATTCATAAGTTTAGGACAGCTATTTAAAAGTACATAAAAAAATTCTTGGACATATTTCATGACAAACTATGTACTCTATTATATACATATTGCCTATAGGGTAGCTACATCTATCATATATATTGTCTAGGGTTAGCCACCAGACTAGTACCCGAACCGAGGGGTATGAGCTGCGAGGAGAGACTATGGGAATTAAACCTCACGTCACTGAAAGACAGAAGAGTTAGGGGGGACATAATCACCGAATACAAGATTCTCAAAGGAATTGATAGGGTAGATAGAGACAGGCTATTTAACACAAGGGTCACACGCACTAGGACACACAGGTGGAAATTGAGTGCACAAATGAGCCACAGAGTTACTAGGAAGAACTTGTTTAGTGTCAGAGTAGTTGACAAATGGAATGCATTAGGCAGTGATGTGGTGGAGGCTGACTCCATATACAGTTTCAAATATAGATATGATAGAGCCCAGTAGGCTCAGGAATCTGTACATCAGCTGATTGACAGTTGAGAGGCGGGACCAAAGAGCCAGAGCTCAACCCCCGCAAGCACAACTACGCGAGTATACACACACACTCACTGCCCCCCCACCCCCGCCACACACACACACTGGAAGTCTGTAAAATTACCGAGCAGAACCACTTTCATTCTACTTCACAAATCGCTTAACCACACTAAAGTGTAATGTTAACTATATTTGTGCATGTAAGCTGTCCCTACACCCTCACCCCCGGCCCTGGAGCCGCGGGGGGGGGGGGGGGGCGAAGGGGCGGCTGTAGCACAGAAAAAGGACAGGAGGAAATCAGGTGTCTGAGCT